GAGTGTGTTGGGTTAGACTTGGGCTTAGGTTGAGCTAGAGTTGGGTTAAGTCCAAATTGATGGTTGAAAATGGTCTAGGGAAATATCATAAAGAGTTCTCAACATCAATTGGGTGTCAATTTTGGGGTTTGGGTATTCAATTAGGTGACATTTGAAGAAATTGCCAAATTGGGGTAAATTTGGGAATTTGGATTTAGGTTGAAATTAGGTGAAATTAAAGCTTGATCAAGGTCAATTGAGAGTTCAATTTGATGTGTGGAAATGTTTCAAAGAGTTTATAATGCACAATTTAGGCAATTAGATAGATTTGGGGTTCAATTTAGTGGGATTTTGATCTTGGGACAAATTGGGGCTTTTTTTGATTTGGGTTGAAATTAGAGTCAAATGTGGGTTAATTGAGCTTGGATTTGGTTTGAATTGAATTTGATTATGATAAATTTGAGTTTAGAGTTGAAATTGGGGAAAATTCGGGTCAAACTGATGGTTATTTGGGGTGAATTTAGAGAAATTAGGCCCTTTAAAGACAATTTGGGGCTATTGGTAAAAATGGTTGAATTGGTCAAATTGAGCTTAATGGAGTGTTTTAAATTGATTTTGGGAGCATTTGAGATGATTTTGAAGGTTTTGGGAAAGATTGGGCCACCAAGGGTATTTTTTAATTTTGGTCAAATGCGGGGGTATTTTGGTAATTTTGGAAATTTTGAGTGGTTTAAAAAAAAAAAAAAAAAGAGAAAAGTGGGTAGTTTGAAATGGTTTGAAATGATTAATAAAAAATTGGCTTCACTTGAATCTTTAGGTATTTTAGGTGAAATTGAGAATTTTAGCCAAACGTAGGGTTTGGGGGTGTTTAGGTAATTTGGGTAGGTTTGTGGGGCAAAAGACTACGTTGGATATTTTAGTGAAAGTGAAGTGTCAACCACCCTATATCAGTCATGAATCAATGGAATCCCCATTTGGGTCCTCTATGTACTGGTCTTAGCTAAACACTAGCCTAGAGCTAGTGAGTCTAGGGAACCATTTACATGAATCTCCCAAAGATCAAGAGATCAAAGTTAACAAAGATTGGGTTTAGGGTTGTGCTCCCCCATGTTGCCCCCACATACTAAGTGATAGAGGTCAGGACCAATATGTGGAACTTCAAGTTGAACAAAGAATGGTTTAGAGTTTCTAATGGTGAGGGCTACTTTTCTAGTCCTCTAGGAATAGTCAACATGAAAGTTTTATGGCTAGACTCTAGGCTACTAAAGAGGAAAGACTAGACATCAACCAAAAGTAAGGTCAATACACGTGTTCTGGCATGTATATCAACTACAAGAACAACATAATGCATAGTAGATTCTGGTGCATGTCGACATGTCACTGGTAAGGCTATGGAGTTTTCTGCATATACTGATCTAGCAATTCTAGAGAGCACTCAAACTGTTGATTGTACATCACAACTTGTGGTTGATAAAAGAACAGTAAAGGGTACCAATTATATGACTTTGTCCAATATTTTGCATACTCCATCCATTTCAGTTAACTTTTAATCCATTAATGTCATTATTCTTCATCTAAATTGTATTTTTCATTTGATACTCCTAAGGTGATCTTTTAAGAGAAAGAGACTGGTCGAAGATTAGAGACTGACACGTGACATAGTGGACTCTGATACTTGGATAGATATGGGATAACCTCAAACTTGGCATCCATTGTTGAGAATGCTGGAGCGGGAGGATCTGAGAGGAGTGTGGAGGATGTATTGCTGCTACATTACAGGTGCATGAGACACTCTTCATTCAGTCTATTGAGTTGTTTATACCCATCATTGTATGAAAATATAAATAAGGAGAAACTGGAGTGTGATGCTTGTGAATTTGGCAAGCTCACTAAAATCTCTTATGTCAGTTTTGGGAATAGAAGCTCCGACATGTTTGATGTAATATATTATGATGTATAGAGACTTTGTTCTATAACTTCGATGAATACTTATATATATTTTGTGACGTTCATTAATTATTATTCTTGCATTACTTGGTTGTATCTGATGAGGAACAAAAGTGATGTGTTTACTTGTTTTAAAGACTTTTATAAGGCGATTCAAACTCAATATGTTGTAGTGAATGTATTGAGATCTAAAAATAGGACGGAGTATACCAATAAGGCGTTTAAGGAGTACATGTCAGCCCAAGGGATACAACATCATGCCCATACACACCAACACAAAATGGAGTAGCAGGGAGGAAGAATCAACATCTTTTAGAGGTAGCGCAAAACATGATGATGGCAATGAATGCCCCACAACACTTATGGGGGCAAGCAGTGTTGACAACCTCTCAATTGATTAATAGAAAGTCTTCAAGAATGTTGGAGTGGAAGTCTCCTTGTCAGATACTGAAAGAAGACAATAGTAAGGTCCTTTCATTCAAGGTATTTGGATGTGTATGTTTTGTAAAAGACAACTGACCATCTGTAGGAAAATTGCATCCCAGAGATGTGAAATGTGTGTTCGTAGGTTATTTTGCTACTCAGAATGATGTCTGTTGAAGCCCAATTGAGAAGAGATTCTTTGTGAGTATGGATGTGTCATTCAAAGAGTTTGAACCATACTACACTCTGAAGGTGAATTCACCCTTCGGTGACTTAACAGACACTGAAGATATGAGGCAAGAGAGAGTGAGTAGTAGTGGTGATGGAGTGGTGTAAATCAATGTTATGTCTTAATATATGGGATGAATCAATTGAGGAGATGGAAATCAAGGAGATTGAACCCAGACATGGTGGGATTCGAGCTGAATGTGAGCTTAAGAGTATATGCACAAATGAAAAAGCAAACTGAGGGAACAGAGTCTGCTGTGCCAATAAGTCTTTTTGTCATGGTCTTCCCCAACTCTTGAGACACTTATACCATTCACCTTTGATTCAAAACTCTGAGGCAATATTATTCCTCACATGTCCACTCCTAACCCCCCAACATCAAGAAGAACCTCTCGTAGCAATGCAAGACATCCTTTAATCATTTTGGGTGAGAACTTGACATTGCGAACTTTATTTCTTATTCTAACATCTCACATTTGCATGAAGCGTTAATGGCATCATTGAACTCTGTCTCTATACCAAAGTGTTGGCAGATAGCTAAGGAGGATCCAAAGTAGAAGGCTTTCATGCTGAAGGAACTCGGTGCTCTCGAGAAGAATAAAACGTGGAAGCTCGCGTTGCTACCAACAAAGAAAAATGCAATTTAGTGCAAATGGGTCTTCACAATGAAGCAGACCATAGAAGAAAAAATTAATCACTACAAAGCACGATTGGTGGCTAAAGGGTATAGTCGGACGTATGACATCGACTATGATGAGACATTTACACAAGTGTCAAAGATGAGCACAGTCAAGACTCTCAACTTTTTGGTTGTGAATGGTGGATGAAAGTTACACAAATTGGATGTGAATAATGTGTTTCTTCATGAGGATCTGCTAGAGGATGTGTGTATGGAGATACCCGTGGGCTTCGGTACAAACCAAACAGTGGGCAAGGTATGTAGATTGAGGAAATCATTGTATGGTTTGAAATAGTCTCCTCGAGCTTGTTTTGACAGGTTCAGGAGAGCAATGGTGGGCATGCGCTATCAGCAAATTAATGTCAACCACACAATGTTTGTTCGACGAAATTGTGGTCACACCATTATACTTGTTGTGTATGTGAATGATATGATAGTAATTGATGATGATGAGAGAGATTGTGTTGCCCCTGAGACAGCTTAAATACTTCCTTGGGATTGAAGTGGCTCGTAGAGCAGATGGGATTGTCCTATCTCAAAGGAAGTATGTGCTAGAATTGCTCACAGAGACAAACATGTTGAAATGCAAGCCTGCAGTTTCACCAATTGATTTGAAGGAAAAGTTGAGTGCATAGGCAGAAGAGTCAGTTGATCGAGAGAGGTAACAGAGATTTGAAGGTTAGCTCATCTATTTGAGTCGCACGCGTCCAAACATCTCATTTACAGTGAACGTGGTGAGTTGATGTGCATGATCCTAGGAAGTGTCATATGGACGCAGTGTATCAGATTTTGAGGTACCTAAAGAGTGCATCAGGGAAGGAGCTGAACTTCAAGAAGAATGGGCATGTAGCATGGAGGGCTATTGTGATGCTGACTTGCAAGTTGTGCATATGACAAAAGATCCACCTCAAAATACGGTATGTTCATAGGGGGCAATCTAGTCTCTTGCAAGAGCAAGAAATAATCTGTAGTAGTGAGGTCAACAATAGAGGGAGAGTACAGGGTCATGGTCTTAGGAGTTGTTGAGATGATATGGCTAAGAGCCTTGTTAGTCGAGCTCAAGGTGGATCAAGGAACTCAAATGAAGTTGTGGTGTGACAACAAGTTAGCAAGCAACATTGCCAACAACCCCGTGTAATACGATAAAACCCGACATATGAAGATTGATAGATTCTTCATAAAAAAAAAGACAGAATAAAAAGCTACTAGAGCTAAGTCATGTAGTCACTGAAGAGCAAGTGGTTGACTTCCTCACTAAAGGACTTAGTTCATTAGATTTGTCTAGATTATGTAACAAGATGAGCTTAGTGGATATTTTTTGCTCATCTTGAGGGGGAGTGCTGAGATTTGTAACTTATTTTTGTGGGTTCTAATTGTAAATAGAAAATTAAAGAAGAAGTCTAGGGGTTATTTATAAAATGTTTTGTATGGCTCTATAGAAGCCCAACTCTTGAATGGAAAAGAATTAAATCCTTCAAAATTATTTCTTCTAATTCTTATGTATTTACATATCTAACACTTAAACTACAATTTTTACATACATGTTATCTTACCTGTGTATAAAAAAAAAATGTATTTCACCTTTTAAAAATTAAATTGGTGGTATTTTTGAAGTGGCATGAAAGATATGGGTATAAATGTCAACAGTAGAGTTTTGGTGTTAGATATGTAAATACATAGGAATCGGGTGGTATGTATGTAAATGTACCAAAAAAAAAAATATAAAACTCAAGAAGCGCCAAACCTCATTAACATCTGATCTCTTGGTATGCGAACATGATCAAATCTTAGAACACCATTGTCCATTGTGTTGTAGGCACCATTTCCAAATTTCATGCCAATGTCGCCAACAGTGATGCCAGGGAGCGGTGAGTGATCGTCAAGGCTTCGTAATTGGACAATGAATCCTGATATGGAAAGATTGTCTTAGCAAACTAGTGCCAACAGTCCCCTAACTTAATCCATGGTGTCCTTTTAATCCCAAACTCTATAAAAATTTCAAATCAATCTCCAGACTCTTTTAATAAGGGATAAGATAGTCACCTAAGAGGGCATGGAGGAATAGTTTAGCCCCTATTAAAATATTCTAGAGATTACTTTGATATTTTTATAGACTCTAAAACTAAAATGACCCTCTAACAAAGAGTCAAAAGACTATTTTGATACTTTAATCATAAGATAATGTTTACCCATAGAAAACATACCATGAACACCGTAATCCTGTCCATCTGTTATCAAACGGGCATAAACAACCGCATGTGTAGATGCTTTCCCCAAGCCACCAGGCCACCACTGGAAGAAATGATCAACATTTACGATAAAAAATTTGTTCCATCAATACTCTAAAGAACAGATGGTTCCCAGCTATTCAAATGTGGCCAATTTAGTCCTAGAGTTTTGTAATGCTCTAATTTAGCCCCTCAACTATTGAAAACTTATCTCACCTGGTCTCTCAGGGACTAAATTGAGATCAATTTTGTATAGCTGATGAACTAAATTGGGATCAGTTTTGTGTCCTAATTTTGACAATAGGGGCTATTTAGGATCAACTTCAATAGTCAGGGATTAAATTAGAGCATTGCAAAATTCAAGGATTAAATTGGTTACATTTAAATAGTCGGGGGCTACTTTGGGATTAATTCATAATCCAAGTAAGCAAACGTACACTTCAAACAAAGGGGAAGCATGGAAAAAATGAAGATATTAAAGGTAGAGAGGACAAGAGAAAAATCACAAACATAAACTTCACTAACTTTGCTTGAAGTCAGATTAGGACTGTGGATGATAAATTCATCAGTTTCAGGATCAAAGGTCGCAGTTGTCTCAAGGCCTTGAACATTTGAACCATGACCAAGTTCAGTTTGTGCATAGCAGCCAATAATATGCAGTTTATAGGCCAAGGATAACCACTTCTTCTGCTGTTCATCAGTTCCTTGCCCTTTAATAGCAGGAACAAACATGCCCTGAAGCAGAACATGAAACACAAATGAGTCATAAAAAATCAGAACTATCAATTAATTGGTATAGTTAAATATTAAAATAAACATCAAAGTAGAAGATGAAAGTTATCTTTTTTACCAAACTGCTGCAATGCCTCTCCTAGAGAATACAAACCATGCTTAGCTAAGTAATCAGAAATGTAGCATACCAAATCATTTTTTTACTTAAAAGACAGTAATCATTACATATAGTATAATAACTAGAATGAAGAGCCATAAACATACCCAATGCAAGTCCACATAAGAAGCCTCATCCACAAATACTCTTAACATTGCTGCCTCTTCCTCTGTACAAGCCAAAGCTTTAACCATAAGACAACAAAGAACTGAAGCAAAAAAAGTACGGAATTAAAAAAAAAAAACTTATTTAAGCTAATTTATTTAAAACATTAACTTTTATCGTCTAGATGTCAAATATGGTTTTCCCCTACTTGAACGGAAAAGCTGAAGCCTACGAGAAACAAAATCTCTCAAACATAAACTTGTTGTCATGCTCAACGAAAAACTAACCAAAAAATCCAGAAACTAGAAGCTGGAGCAAGAAAGATTATTTGCTAGAAAGAGCAAACTCTTAAGATGGCAAGTATGCAAGCATATGGACATAGATGTAATTCTTAAAGCATGTTTGAAAGAATATCAAAAAACCAAAATAATCATAAAAGCAAAAAAAGAATGAGAGTTTTGCAAACACGTTATGGAGACAGAACAATGATAATGATCATCGCCATAATAAATGCAACAAAAGGTGAACTAAAAAATTTATAACAAGCAGCATGGAAAAAATTCTCTCTTAACCATATGAACAGAGCAAAGTTAAGCGCTAGACTAATGATTTAAGTTAAATCTATGAAAAAAATACCCCTCCTCCCCCCTCCCCGAACTAATATTGGCTATTTTTTATTCACGACAGTGGGAGTACTTAGATCATACATAAATGTAGTGCAATATCAGCATTAATCAAATAAAGACAACTGTCAACATTTTGTACCAAATAGGGGGATAAAGTTTTTAGCATGTGCCACCACATTACCAGTTAGACGGAGCTCATTGATGCGTTTCCATGCATGAGCAGCTTTTCTCAGAGAGTTTCTAAATAGCACCTTGCGACCAAGCATGTTTCTGTTATCCTTCCTAAATTCCTGACAAAATGCAAAACTCATGCAGCTCATTGAATCGTAACACGTAGCAGACCATATTACTAAAAAGAACTGCAGCTATATTTTCTAAAAAAAAAATAAAAATAAAAACAAAATCCTGCTAAATTTCGTGTATGTTCATCAATAGCAAAATGATTCAAGCAAACAAGGTGAAAACCAAAAAGAAACTCATCATTTGTAAAATCATGGCAAGAAAACATGGTACTAGAATTATAAAATTTTTCGAAGATAAAGTTTTGGGATGATATGCAAAAGAAAAAAACAACTTCAACCAAAAAAAGCATAATGCAATGTACACGCTACACATTACACCCAAGGATTAAGTATTAGATGAGAAATCAATGCAGAATTATGGTGGAACTTGAGAGAGGTTGCCATTACCGCTAGTTTTGGAGTAAAACCCCTCCCTGCCATGTAAACTATGAAAACCTTTTTCTCAAAGCTAAATGCTTTCATCAGCTAAGAGGCGTCAAGTAGGATCTAGTAAAATCAGATTTTAAAAAGTATCGACAGGATTAAAACTTGAAAATTGTTTAGCATGAAAACTATTAAATCTCACTAAATACTTATAATTTTTTTGGTTATTTGTTCGTGATTCAAGATTTGCGATAAAAATAAATCTTTAAAGCCATTAAATTATGTAAAAAAGGAGAATTAATAAATCTTGGATTTACTAGTAATGAGGTTACAATGAGATTTATCAAAACATCAGGATGGTATAATTTAAGCTAAATCATCCATAACTCATCCTTGAAATAGGATGCCAAACAGCACCTAAATGCAAGTACCATGTAAGCTTGATGACTAGCATTAATTATTATTATTTGCTTTCCTCGCTTTTAGCCCTTATTTGGCCGCTAATGCAGGAACATAGTTGTATCGCTCATTGAATCAATATTTAATGAAAATTGCAGGTGCTTTTATTTGCAAATAGATCATTGTCTCATAAATGGCCCTTAACAAGCAAAAAAAGTTTTTATATTCAGTTTTTAAAAGAAATGGATCAAGGAAATAAAATAGCTAAAAAGAAAACAAAAACATACCAAGTCCATTTATCCTAAGGCCCCTACAATTTCATGAAAAAATCTTCATTTCATTTCCACCCATCTCCTAAGCTTCTTTTAATATTAATAAACCAACAATCAAAGCCTCACAACTACTCTAAATTTCTCTTCAGCTCCATACCAAACTAGAGAATATTACTATTTAGTCTTGTTCTCTAGATCTCAACACCATTGTAAAACCTTCCAAATCTATGCATCTACTCCAGATCATAAATACATATCCCAAGCTAACCAACCATAATTAATTACAAACATTTGTCCAGCTTTAACCCACTTTTCCAAAAAAGAGAGATTTTAAATCAACCCATACTAGTCTTGTCAAGACTATTCCAGGCATTTCAACCAACACACCCTCATAAACCTTTTAGCATTCCACTAAAAACACTCTGTCACGTGTTTATACCCTACTCTAAACCTTCGTAGCAATCATTGGTATTTTATCTCATCAAAAGACCACCCACCACCATCAAAAGTATTACACAAGTAATTTCATGAAAATTTGATCATGTTTTAATGTGTCACATTAGTGAAACTACTTAAGAAAGGTGAAGCTTGTATTCTGTAAATATGCGAATAAGATTTTTTTTGTATTTTTTCATTTTATTCCATAGCAATATATTTTATTTTTTAAAATATATAAATTAAAACAATGAATCTTGAACTTTTTAAAACATCGTTCATATCCAAAAATACTTTAAAAAATACATAATTTAAAAGCATAAACAAAAAAGAAATTTGCATATATCACATTTTTAAAACATCGTTCATATCCAGAACCTTTGTATTTACTTATATAACACCTCAAATCTACTCAGCTTTTGAAAATTAACACTTTGTTAACTTTGTTTGCATCCCCACTTAAAATTTATAGTTGCCTTCTTCACCGCCATCCCCATCATTCTTGCAAGATCTCCCACTCCGACAAGAACCTAAAAACGCTCTAATCCTCTCCTTCTCACGCTTAATTATCTATCCCCGCATGTAAAGCCCCATTTTCTTAGAGTTGCAGCGTGAGCAGTTTTTTTTGGTGATTTCACTTAGTTTTTGCTTTCAATCTTCATAAGTCCTAAGCAGAAATGATGTGTGTAATCTACCCGATCCCGACATCCTTGCAGCTTTCTCTTGCGCACATGAACAGCCCAATACAAAAAAAAAAACGAAGAGACACTCGGCACTCGCTTAGGGCTTTTTTTTTTTTAATTATTATTTTTTTTCTTCTCTTTTTTGCGATAAAAAAAAAATTCTTTCAATGACTAGATAGGTAAGTTTAAGATGCTGCGCATATGAACAGAGTATATTCTAGCTTTTCACTGAATCAAATATTATATTGAAAGAAGTAGACAGCTAGACAAGTCACTAAAGCTGACAATTGATGAAGCATATTCGTTAAAATCAATCCAAGTCCATAAGACTATAATTTAAGAACTTCGTCAATAAATTCCGAAACTGTTTGACCCAAGTGATGACATCCTTTAATCTCGCCGTTTGTCCAACCAAAGCATGACAGACGTAAACCCTACAAAATCCAGATTCAAGCCATCAAATTCACCAAAAGAATAAGCAGAAACCTACCGGATCGCTTGCTACAAGACGGGACATCCGATCTGCGATCTCGAAGGTGCGGCGGGATCCAGCCCATACGATCTTCATCGCCTCCACATCAAACTCAGCCGTCTGCCTCTCGTGTGCGAGATGATCAACCTCCTCCATGGCTCCCAAATTTCCCACAGCGACGAAGCGATCAGAAGAGCAGAGAGTACAAAATGATACTCTCCTTCTTCTGCAATTTTAATGGGTATATGGCAAAAAAAAAAAAAATCTCAAAATGTAAAAAAAAAAAACAATTCTTATATATTTATATTTTTCATATTCTAAACTTTCATATTTACACAAATAACACTTTGTTACTTTAAATCTATACATGAAAAATATATATTTTATTTTTATGGAGTGATCATAGTTCTATCTTTGATGTGATATTATTCTTTTGAGGGTTATGTATGTAAATATGAAAGGTGGTATTTGCATAATACTTGTGTGCTATATCCATAAATGTCCCAATAATTTAATAATTATAAAATTTATTTTAACCAGGTTAGAACAACTGTAAGTACCAATTCTTTTCTCTCTTCTTAAGGTGAACCTAAATAAAAATATATTTGATTTGAATCCACGATTGCACGGCGACAAACTACACCCTTATGGTATATTAAAAATCAATTGTGAAGCTGCTCAATAATAAACTTATCTCAAAAAACTGTGGTAACAATCACAAATATTTTTTTAAGTGAAGTCTCAACTAGCAACTAGCGAGGAGTGGTGAGAAAATACAAATTCAGTAGTAGTTTTTTGAAAAAGCTGTCAGAAAATAGTTTAGTAAAGCACCACCGTTGCCCCAAACGGACCCTTAATCAATATCTCGGAGTAAGTTTAGTAATGCAATGAGAGCTCTTTTACTATTTTTAGCTACATGAATTTTTATTTAAATTAGGAAAATGGCATTGAAAATATTGTAGATATATGCATCCTTTTGTCCTTTAAAATTAAATATTGTGGCCCCATATGCTAAGATAAGAATAGAAAATGGCAAGTTATCCTAAAGTTTAATACTTTAAGATAAATCATTGAAAATCATAATAAATTATTAATGGATGATTCACATACATACCACTCAATTCTAATGTATTTACATATCTAAACTTATAAATTTTATTTATTATATTTATACCATTCAAATCTTTTATAGCACATAAGAAATATCGCTAATTAAACATTAAAAAAATAATTTATATATTCTTATTCATAGATAATGTTAGATATGTAAATAAGACAAAATTTAATGTAAAACACCTCGTTAGTATAAACCAAGGCTTTCGGCATCTTATGTGACCGTATTATGTATTAGTGGGGACATGTTACGTATTACGGGCCAGCATAATAATGAATTTTTTATTTATTTTTTTTTCGTTGTTAATTTAGGTGTTAATATGTAAATATAGAAGAATTGCATGGTATGCGTGTAAATGCCCCCATTTTTTTTTTTAAATTCAGTTCAGTTGATTTAGATTTATTTTTAAAAATTTAAATGCTATTAATTTTAATAAATGATTTTTAAATAATAATTCAGAACTAAACTCGGAACTACCAGCCCGGAGTTGTTCAAGAAGGGCGGCTTGCTCAAGTTACTGTTTTGACCCTATTAATCGCCCTTAATTTCAGGTTTATCAGAAATTAAAAATAAATTATTTGACCCATAAAATATTGAATTTAGATATGTGCTCATTCAACTAATGAAATAACAATAATATATATATATA